CCCAGATTTGCTGGCAAGATTTTGTAAATAAACTTGTCAAACACAAAAAATTTGGCCGGAATTTTTTTCCCAGGCCTCAATAATCTACGGTGATCAAGAGCCATTATGGCTCTTAATAAATGTGATCGAAGATGATTGCCAGTTTTTGGGTGTACTTATGAGGCTATGAACTCGATGTGAGATTTGGTTCACTCTTGGGCTGTTTGCAAATTATTTTTTGTAAAATCACGTAGCCTTTCCCTGAAAAGTCACACGAATGTGCTCTAAAGTTAACTGAATTGTGGAATACAAGTTTATTGTTTGATTTAAATTAATATATAGATTTAGCCAGGGCTAAAAGCGAAGCTCCCATTAATAAATTTATATTTTAAATGAAACAGTAAACTTGTAATCCGCAAATCAGTTAACTTAAGGGCACATTCATCTGACTTTTGAGGGAAAGGCCGTAAGTTATGTTAGAGTGAAACATCTTACATCGAGTTGATAGCCTAAACATACATGTATGTACACCCAAAAAATAGCAAACATCTTCTATCACATTCAAGAGCCATAATGGCTCTTGATCACAGTAGATTGAGTGTGCCTTTTGGTCGAGGGTCGAGGGTAAATGGTCGAGGGTCGAAAAATCCTCCACAATTATTTCTGAATTTTTTTTCAATTTAAAACCTAAAATTCCCAAATAAAGAAACCAAAGGAAAGAAGCATGACAGGAAGTTCGATAAAAACCATAATACCATTAAACTGTTGACTGAGATCTTTGAAGCAGGATGTCAGCTCTAATTTTCTTTAACTATAAGACATTTAAGATTCGATTTAAGATAGAGTACAGTGCATCTGCATCTTTTCATTAAAGTTTTAGATTTGAGAAAGAGTCAATTTCGAGAAAAAATCCGGTACTTCCCTTTGAGATATTCCTATCTCTTGTACTGCCTAAGAATGTTATAATGCTACAACACCTTATTATCTAATTGCCGCTCTCTTATCTGTCAAGTGATCACTTACGGTTGGTTAAAAAGTTGGTTAAAAAGTAGAAGCAAATTTCAAACTTTTAGCTCTAAAAAGCGGTCGGAATCATTTAAGAGAGGTCATTGCATACAAGAGGTTTCAAATATAGTGATTTGACGTGGAAACTTTTCGTATTTTGGAAAACTGGTAGCTGAGCAGAGGCCGTCGCTTACAGTAGGTGGTTGCAACTGGATGTTTGACTGTATCAAACAAAGAACAACGGCATACAACGCGTCTGTTTTGTTTTAGCACCCTAAAGCGCATCTTTACTTTTGTTTCTCCGCTGTTCGTTTGGTATACATCTCTTCTGGATTATATCGATTCTGCCAAAAAAGAATACAACCGCCAATCTTGTAAACCAAGCTCAAGTGCTGCTGAGAGCACATTGTAACTGGTTGTCTTATCTAAGAACAGGTGTTAAGGGCTGTTCTAAAATAAGACGCGTCTGAGAATTTTATTTTAGACGAAATGTGCCCTATATGCAGAAAGTTCACATGTTATTTTTCCTCCTATAAATGGCCCTAATGTCATTCCCAGGATCAATCTCTTCTCTCCAGCCCCTGAAGAGTAGAGAGAGTTGAGAGAGAGTAGAGAGAGCTCTCCAATAACCCCTTAAGAGTTATTGGAGAGCTTCAAGTATTATGTCAGGTTCCGATAAGACAACTCTTACGTACAAAATTTCAGATGGCCTACAGGCTGGGTAACAAAAATTATCGTCTCCCACTGTCAGGGTAGCCCCTAAAGCACTGTAGGATATTATTTGGAGCATACATGAACTGGTGAAATGCCAAATGTCAAATATTACCAGTTGGAGCTTATAAGATAGGTTTGTACTTTTTTATCAGCCAAATCTCAATTCACATTGCAATAATTAGTTCATCTTTAACTTTACAGGATATTGGACCGAATATGAAAAACATTTTGGGTGAGTATTCTTTGTTCTTTAAGGCAAGTATCTGGAACTACTTACACCTAAACTGAATACGCCTTTTTGAAGAACTTATACAGTGGAATCCTGATTTCTCGAACCTCCAGGGGAAATGCAAATTGGTTCGAGAAATCGAAAGTGGCATCAAATTACGCTTAATTGTCCGGGTATTGTGTGATTATGAGTAAGTGTTCAAATTGTAACAAAGATACATCCTTTTTAATGTAGATCTTGACCTTTACTAACAAACAAAACATACTGTACTTAAAAAACAAAAACGAAACATAACAGAACACCTGTCGTGTAGGGTCTGTATATAGCACTCGCTCAATTCAGCTGAAATAATTTGTAATAACTTGTTGCCTCTTTGCAACCAAGAAACTATGATTTGAGAAATGTTCCTGGTACTTTTGCGCAGATTATCGAGGTGCACATCATCAGCAAAAAAGCTGAATGTGTTAAGCACACTGATTGCATGGCGCAATTCACACTGTGTTGGTGGTTTTGGCGGTTCATCTACAATGACAATATCATCCTCATCCATTTCTTCTTCTTCTTTCTCTACATTTGCATCTGCTGAGTGGTTAAACTCTGCTAGTATATCCTCATCAGTTAGGGGATCAGCTTGAAAAGTAGCTTCATCA